GTTTCCTCTTAAAGCAAAACTGTTGAAGAAAAAAAGAGAGAGAGAGAGATATCTAAGTCAGAAATCTTGGATGAAGTAGGGTGTGCGTTATTCATCCTAGAATTGTATTAGTAAGAAGGGGTAGAAAGTAGTAGCCTCTTTCCTGTTTTTTTAGAGACAGGTTCAGGGTCTCATTCTGTCACCCAGGTTGGACTATAGTGGCACAATCATAGTACTTTGCAGCCTCAAACTCCTGGGCCCAAGGTGATCCTCCCTCCCTCAGGCTCCTGAGTAGCTGGGACTTCACATGTGTGCCACCATGCCTGGCTCAGCCTCTTTTAAAGCTTGTTTAAAAAAGTTTAAAAACTTTAATATTGTACAATATTTATTACTTTTAATTTATTTATATTTAGTATTACTGGCATAATACTTAAACACAGAAAAAGATGTAGAATGACATAAATAATATCCATTTCAGCTAGCCTTGACATATTATTTTGCCAGACTTCAGGTTTAAGAAATAAAATCACTAACAGTTGAATCACCTCCTGTGTGTGTCCCTCATTCCATTCTCCCTCTTACTCCAAAGGTAACCACTACCTGAATTTGGTGTTTTTATTCTCATACATGTTTTTATGTTTATTCTCATGTTTATAACCATAAACAGAGAGTATTTCTTTTGCACATTTTTTAAAGATTGAGAAACAGCTATTGTTTTACAACTAGCTAATTTTGTTCAACATCATGTTTTTCAAATTCATCCACACAATACAGTCATATCTAGTTTCTGTATTATATTCTACCAAATGAATGCAACACAACTTATTTTTAATTCTCTATTAGAGTTATTTGTAATTTTTCATTATTATCAACAATGTTACAATGAACATTTTGTACTTTTTTTTTGGTTTAAGTGCCAAGGCTTTTCCAGGGATATTTTTCAAACTGTGTTATGACTCAGTGAATTGCAAAAACACCTCAGTAGGTCATAATCAAAATTGAAAAAAAAAAAAAAGAATAAAAAGTATCGAGAGTATCACCCATGATATCATAGAATTTTTTATATATAATTAATGGGAGTTTTATTATATATGTAAGTGCATACACAATGTATGTATTAGGTCATGACATAAAATGTACTTCTTACTAGAGATCAAATAAAAAAACTAAAAAACCACTGTGCTTGAATATATACTTTAGTTCAAAGCTATTTTTAAAAACACCTCAGTTTTTCAGGCATAAAATCACATTGTTATCTTTGACTTTTCACTCCCCATGAATTCCATTTAAGTTGCTTTCATTACTTATATATCTTTCTTTCCTAAACCACTCTTTTAACTTATGCCCCCATTTTATTTAGAGTTTGTATTATAATCCTTTTGCTATTGAAAACTTTCATCTTTTGAAACTCTGCTTCCTATTTCTTATATAATCAATCTAAAATGCCATAGTTCAGAAAAATCTGTGTTATCTGTCACTCTGACTAGGTCACTGCCCTTCTCAAATCTCTTCACTGGCTCCCTACCGCTTAATTCATCTAATTCAAAAAATTGTTTATTCCCTGTTTTGATGTCTATCCCCAATTCACCTCATCCAGTAATAATCACCTCATTTATTTCTCTCTGTTCTTTCTCATTCATTATATTCCTAAGGGTCACTCATGTACAATCATTAGAAACATCTCTTGTGTATATACTACACTTTGCTTTTCCTTTTCACATTTGAACTATAAGCTCCTAATGGTCAGCAACCAAAATTAAGACATCAGTAAGTTGTCACTCATGTTTCAGACACATGAAAAAAACTGGTAAGATAAAAGTATAAACATCTTCTTTATTCTCCAAATATTCCCCTTATTATTTCATACATTGAACGACAGAATAAATACATCCATAGCAGAAATACTAAAGCTTCCCTCCATTAGGTTTAATCTTAAAAATGTTTAGTGAGATTATGTAAATGAGGACAATAACCAAGAAACACCTGTGAGTGCCATGACAATACATACTTCTCCTTACAAATAATCAACAGTTGTCTTTTTATAATGTAAATTTCACTTAAGTAAATATTTTCTCTTAATAGCAAACTTCAAATTCTAATAAAATAACACTCTAAAATTAATCTAAGAAGTACGCTATTTTACTATACCACAGCATTTTTATAGCCTTATTGAGGTATAACTGACACAAAACAAACTGCAACTAAATATAAAATCTGGTAAGTTTTGACAGTTGTATATTTGTAAAGCCAAGAGTCCCCCAAAAGTTTCCTCACACCCCACTGTAATCCATTCCTTCCTCCTCCTATACTCTAGGCAGCTGATGATATGCTTTCTGCCACTACAGATTAGTCTGCACTTTCTAAAATTTTATTTAAACACAATCACACTATTTTTGGTCCGGGTTTTTTCACTCTGTAATTATTTTCAGAATCATACACCTGTTGCATATATCAGTAATTCCTTCCTCTTTATTCCTGAATTTTATTCCATTTTAAGGCTGAATCACAATTTATTTATTATTTTATTTTTGAGTTGGAGTCTGTCACCTAGGCTGGAGTGCAGTGGCACACTCACAGCCACCACGGGCACCCCAGTGTCGACCTGCTGAGCTCCGACAATCCTTCTGCCTCAGCCTTCCAAGTAGTCAGAACTACAGGCACACACTACCATGCCTGGTTAATTTTTTAAAAATTTTATTGCAGAGATGAGGTCTCACCAAGTTGCTTGGGCTGGTCTCAAACCCACAGGCTCAGGCAATCCACTTGCCTTGGCCTCCCAAAGTACTGGGATTACAGACAGCCACCGAACCCAGACTCACAATTTATTGATCCATTCAGTTTTTAATTGACATCTGGGATGCTTTCAGTTTTTGGCTATTACAAATAAAGTTGCTATGAATAGTTGTATATAATTTTTTCTGTAGTTATATGATGTATGAAAACATTTATGTTGGGTAAACATCTAGAGCAATATGGTAGGGATGTAGATGTCTGTTTAATTTCTAAAGAAACTATCATATTGTTTTCCAAAGTGGTTGTATCATTTTTCATTACAATCAACAGTATATTTTTGTAGTGAATTGCCAGTTCAAATATTTTTATCATTTTAAAAAAGTGTCTTATTAATGAACTGTAAGCATTCTTCAAATATTCTAGATACAAATCCTTTGCCTGATAACATGTTTTGCAAATACTTTCTCCCAGTCTGTAGCTTACCTTTTCATTTTTTTGTCTTTTCTTTCTTCAAGTTGTTTGTTTATTTAAATTGACACAGATAAAGTTGTATGTATTTATTCTGAAGTACATATATACTGTGAAATGGTTAAATGTAGCTAATTAACAGATGCATTATCTCATAGTTACCATTTTTGTGGTGGGAACACTTAACATCCACTCTCTTTGCATTTTTTAAGAATACAATATATTATCATTAACTATAGTCACCATGCTGTAAAACAGTGTAAATGTCTTTCAAAAAACAAAACCTTTAACTTTTGTTTTGTTTTAATATTAACACACACTATTATATAAGTATATTAAAATCAGGTAATGGTCTGACAATAAAAATGTTGCTCATAGAATACTGTTAGGCTCAACTTTACTTACAGGATGTTAAATCCTTAGAACTAATGTTTCCTTCAGAAAAAGATAAGTGTAAATATCAACTGCTTGCATACTTGATGGTTGCTGCTCAAAGGTAGTTTTACACAAATACTAAAGTAAGAAACCTTGAGTACACAATGGATTGCTTTTATTTCGGTATGTATCCACACATCAGCATCGAGTAGTCTTGAACAGAAAGTGGAAAACGCAGGATGTGTGGAGTTGAGCCCACCAGCCTCAGCCTACTGTGCACATGAACCTGTTCTTCTCCCTGCTGAGGTTCACAAGCAGTAGCAGCAGCACCCAAACCAGAGCATGTGCTGAAGTTAAAGATCTCTTGTTTCAGTTGCCACATCCAAGGTAGATCCCAGTGGGTGGCAAGGCTGATCGAATGGGAGCCCTGTTTAAAACTCCTGCCATTGCTAAAAGCAAAAGCAATTGCAGGAAAAGAAAACAATTCAGAAGAATCATGTATGCTTACAAGTGTCTTCATGTGGCCTCTCTCCAAGTCTAACCACCAACAACTGTGAGAGTTGGCAGGTCTGAGGAACCCTGGTGACTGTGCTTTTCACTTGTCAAAACCTGAGCTAAAAAACACATCAGCTGATGTGGCAGGGCCGAGGACCCCAAATTCATTTCCCAGGCTGGTGGAGAGTGGACAGGTGTGGTCCCAGAACTAAACGAGGGAGGGCAGACTTTCCTGATGGCTTCCAGCCACAAGCAGGAGGCATCATGGCAAGTGTCGGGTGGTGATGGTGCAGAAAGGGACTGTGGAGGAGCAGGGGAAAGCAGCACCCCTCAAAAGGTGTGGGAGAGATGTGGAAAGCCCTGAATTCCTCACTGAAGGCATGGGAGTGGTAGAGTTACAATCGATGCTTCAGATAAGGACAGGGTAAGGGAGAGGCTTAGAAGGTGCATCATTTAATACTTAAAGAAGGAGACAGGGGCTTAGGCAAAGGGCTCCACACCTAGCAGCAGTCCCACAGACTACAACGTGAAACCTTCACATAAGCTCTAACAACTTCCACGAGCTCAGGGCTGGGAAGAGTGGGAAGTCATGTAATCAGCAGCAAGGTGATTGTGTGACATGTCATTTCACAGTTGAGTTAGATGAGCCCCCACCAGTGGCAATGGGAATCAGGGAATCAGTTTAAATAGACTATCTTGATCCCAGAAGTTCAACTACATGGACAGTGGTAACACTTGACAGGATAATTTGTTATAGCACAACTTGTATGTTTCAAATTGACAAAAAATTAGCATCATTTACAGTATCTTAAGATAAAGTGCCTTTAAATGGAGCTTCTTTTCCAGTACTTTGAGGTCTATAAGACATATCTAGAAACCTTACTACTGTGGAAAATGAAGACTGAGTAAATCTAAAAGGGAAGGAGTGGGGCCTGTGGCTGGCTTTGTGATTAATTTCTGTGACACTGTCCTTCAGGTGGCTGAGGGAGCTTCATGCTCTCTCTAGAAATCATTAGCTCTTGCAGGACATCTCTGATGCTATGTGAGTTCTGCCCCTTTGCTAGCGCTGATATGGCTCTTGGGTATACCACTCCATTAGAACTATTAACTACATATCATATTAATTTTTGTTACAAATCTCACAAAGGGGGTGCTTCTGGGTAGTTAGGTCTACATTTTATTTTAAGGCTGCGTATTTAGTTTTCATAAATTGTTCCTGGAGGCCCAACTATTATCCCTGTCCATCTTGTAAGGGTCATATCTTCGTCATCTTCTAGACCCCCTCTAATTGTGCCATCTCCTACTCCTTTCTGACCTTCAACGAGTTCTTCCAACAGTCGGAAATTGCGAGGGACTTTTACTCCTGAGCCCGTAGTGGCTGCCATCTTGCATTGCTATCCTTAACGTCTGTTAAAGTGCAACTTACTGTTTTTTCTTTTTACAGTTCATGTTTTCTTCTGTCCCACTGAAGAAATGCTTTACAAAATAGTTACTAAAATTTATGCTTTCCTTTTAGAAATTTTTAAGTTTCAGCTCTTAAGATCTATGATCCACTTCCAGTTAAGTTTTGTATAGGATATAAAGTAAGGGTTAAGGTTCATATTTTTGCATACCACTACTCAATTGTATTAGCACCATTTGATAAAAAGATTACACTTTCCCCAACTGAACTAGCACTTCTATCAAAAAATTAATTGATCATATATTTATGGATCTAATTCTGGACTTAGTCTGTTCTACTGATCTACATCTGTCTATGCCAGTACATAAATGGACTATAGTAGCTTTATAATAAATCTTGATATCAGTATTATTGAAATCAATAAATCCTTCAATACGGTTCTTTTGCCAAAGTTGATTTGGCTAGTCTGTGGTCTTTACATTTTCAAATAAATTTTAAAATGAGCTTGTCAATATTTACCCTCCCCCAAAAGTCTTCAAATTTTCATTGGGAATATAATGAATCTTAAGATAAATTTAGGAAGAACCAACATCTTAAAAATATTTCTTTGCAGTAGTGGGAAACTGCAGGGAAGGGAGGGGCATGGGGTGGCATTGGCAGTAGTGGGAATCTGCCAGGGGAGAAGGGGGCATACCTCATCAACAAGGGTACCTGCATAATGAACATTTGTATACCTAACCCTGAATTCTATACCCCATACCTTTTAAATTAAAATTTAAAAAAAGAAAATTTAATTCTGAGCCTGGTGCAGTGGCTCAAGCCTGCAATGCCAGCAACTCAAGAGGCTAAAGTGGGAGGATCGCTTGAGGCCAGGAGCTCAAGAGCAGCCTGGGCAATAAAGCAAGACCTTGACTATAAACAATTTTTTAAAAAATTAGCTGGGCATGGCAGTGCACACCTGCAGTTCCAGCTACTCATGAGGCTAAGGCAGGACAGTCACTTGCGCCCAGGAGTTTGAGACTGCAGTGAGTTTTGATAGTACCTGCACTGCAGCCTGGATGAAAGAGCGGGACTTCATCTCTAGAAAATAAAAAAATTAAATTTAGTTTTACAATCCATGAACATGGTTATATTTCCCCATTTACTTAGTTTGTTCACAGTATTCTCTTATTCTTTTAATATCTGTAGGATCTGTAGTGATATCACTATTTCATTCCTGATATTGGTAATGTGCACTTTTTTTTCCTGATCAGTATCCATTTTATCTTCTTCTTTTTTTTTTTTGAGTTGGAGTCTCACTCTGTCGCCCAGACTGGAGTGCAGTGGCCGCTCCTGGCCACCGCAGCCTCGACCTGCTGGGCTCCGGCGATCCTTCTGCCTCAGCCTTCCGAGTAGCCAGAATTACAGGCGCGTGCTACCACGCCCGGTTTATTTTTTGATTTATTATAGAGATGAGGTTTTGCTGCCCAGGCGGGTCTCGAACCCGCGGGCTCAGGCAATCCACTCACCTCAGCCTCCCCCCC